AACTAATTAACAATACAAATAAACTGAAGCAAATGCACACACACATACCCACACTCATAGACAATTGGGAGCGCAAAAAATGTGTGTGTGCGCGAGTGAGTAAGAGAGGGATTTTTGATGCGTTATTAAGCGGCTCGTTGAATGCGACGCTATTGGAATTTTTAATTGTTTAATTGCGGCCAAATTTTTGCTTGCCTGACTTGAAAGACAATCTGCCGCATTTGCGACATTTTTATAAGCTATTATGAGCATTAGGCATTCAAAGGTAATACAGAAATCACAGCAAACCAACAACGACTAGCGAAAAGAGAGCAGCAGCAATATTCATGCACATATATGTACGTATATATGTACATATGTAGACATGTATGTCAAGTAGTTTGTAACATTTTTACAGCACTGTTGTTGATTACATGGCCTCTGTTAAGTTGTATGTTAATAACGCATGTAACAGCCTATTTTTAGTTAGTTTCTATTGCCCAAACGTCCACTAAAAACTATCGTAAAATGGGTAAGATGGTGCGACTATGTGTGTGTGCGTGTGTTTCTGTGTGGGGGGAGTCGCGTGCGCATGTAAAAAGCATAAGAAATTGGCCATCAAAATGCAAGGCAAGTGGAAAAGCAAATAAAATACATAACAGAAATGCCAGTCGCAGGCCACAGCAAAGAGTCGAAGAGAGTGTGAGAGCAAGTTGTCTCTCCCCCTCTCTCTCTCTCATTCACACACACACACATGCACGCACACACACAGATGCAGACGTGCTCTTGCTCACTCGCTCGCTCGGTTGCTCGCCTTGCTGGGCAGAATATAAAAATAGTATTAGTTGCTGATTATTATTGCAAAAATGCGCATTCCTCGGCGACTTATCCCCACAAGGCGGCTGCTGCTGCTGCTCCACTCTCTGTGTTTTCGTTTCGTTTTCCCTTTTTTCATACACACACACACACACACACACACACACACACACACACACACACACACACACACACACACACACACACACACACACACAATGTATATGTATGTGTGTGTATGTGTGCAGTTGCAACAGGCATGTTTCAAAATGTGCGGAAAAAGAGAAGAAAAGAAAAAAATTGAAGCAAGAAAAACGAGCTAAATTGCATTTTCGTCGTCGTCGTCGCCGTCGATTGCAACTTGCAGCAGCCAGCGACGACGACGACGACGTCGCCAACAGTGGCGCGCTGCTAGGGGGGTTGCGCTCAAACTCTCTATGCGCTGCCATCAATGGCCAAACGCCCACCCCTTCGCCCTAGCCAACACAAACTAGACGCAGAAGCAAACTGGGTCCCGGCTTGACTTGGCCTGGCCAGGCCTGGTCACTTTTTTTTTTTATCGTTCATTTACTTTTAAAAAGCAGCAGCAGCAGCTCCAACAACAACAACAGGAGCAGCAGATCACTGTATTTATTGCCTTGCTCATGCCTGGACTCTGTGTATGTGTGTGTGTATTTGGAATGCACACGAGCACATAGACAACGCCTCACCTGTTTAGTCGCTGCCTGCAGGCGGAGCAGCCCACAACAACAACAACAGCAGCAGCAGCACACACACACATACTATAATCCACTACGAATTGCATGCTGGAATGTGAATGGAATCTCAACAATTTTCAGCGTCGCTGGCGTTGACGCCGTCGACGTCGCCGCTGCTGTTGACGTTGTTTGGCGCAACTTTTTGCACGTCAAATAAAAATAAAAATATAAATAATAAAAAATTCAAAATAAATCACGTAAAAAAAACAATTACAATGTGATGCACGCAAATGAATGTAAAGCTATACAAATTCATTAGTGAATGCATGTATGTAACATTGTTGACAAAGCCAAAATATACATACATACATACATCCTCACATATATAATATGTACATATATCAAGCTGCTCGAGAAATTATTGCCGTACTGACATTGGCGCTCATCTCTAAACAGAAGCAGCAGCAGCAGCAGAGACGCAGGCAGCGACAGAGATCGAAGCAGCGGCAGCGCAGCAGCTGCCTCTAATTACAAGCGCGCCCGCAGTTGTTACTATTGTCGTAGTTGTTGTTGTTGCAGTTACTTGTGCCACATTTTGCATCTCTCATATTTACATTTACACTGCACACGCGTTGTTCTTGATGTTGTCGCTATTTTATCTTTCTTCTTTTCAGTTTTAATTTTGCACAAACAAAAACAAAGTCAAACAAGTCAAAATACGGTCACACTGTATTTCAAATATGAATATAGAGATGGCACACATACAGACATTTGTAACAAGCGCAAAATAGATCGATAAATGTACATACTATTCTTTTATTAATAAGCAACTTTAAATACAATTTGTTTTAATCTTTAATTTAATTTAACATTTTTCTTCTCGTGAACGATCACTGTATTTGTGCAGAAAAAATACTATGTACTCTGCCTACTTTTGATAATTCGTTTTATTTGCGCTAATAGATAAGATTTTGCAACAATTTTTGTTTACATTTTTGCATTAAAATTTTGTTTATTCTTTGTTCTGTACATAGATCGCATTTCGCGTTCCCCGTACAAACAGATTCACCTGGCTATTACTGCGAAGGCCAGTGATACATATGATGATATTGGATGACAGTAAACTAATTGTTTTGACAGATTGTTTGTCTGCCTTTTTTCTTTATATTTATGTACACTGTTCATACAGAAGACTAACGTATGGAATAAACAGTTGCTTAATTGCTTTGAAATTCAATTGTCTATATTAATGGGTTCTTTACATCTGTTATTGATAGTATTTCGTATTCCTTATAAGACAATTATTATATGCCTTCAAATTAATTTCGGTGTTGCAAATTATTTTCATATTTTATCAAATGAGTATCCCTATTGCTCACGTCAGCTGCCATCATAAACAGCTATTGTTGTTGTTTCTCTGTTATCCACTGTTTGCTTTTGATTTTTCATTTTCAAATTGTAGCTGCCGCTGTAATTGCCGCAATTGTTTTTAAACAAATTGCATGAGAGTTTTTCAGACGCCCACAAAATGACGAGTTTTGACACCTGAATTATAACGGCAATTAGCAGCAGATGGCATTCGACAAGAGAGACAGACAGAGAAAAAGAGACAGAGTTAAGGACAACGGTCGCACGCATACACACAAACACAAATGCAACAGAATGGAAAAGGGATGGCAAAAGGGCGTGCAGCTAGAGCGGAGCAGTTGCAGCTGAAGAATTTAATCCGATTTGTAGTAAAGTAACGAGCGCGCAGATATTGCGAGCAACGACATCGGAGTGCGGTGGGGAGAGGCGTAGAGTTAGAAAAGCAACACACGCACACAGGCATACACATACTATCACACTCGCTCACACACTTGGCACTCACGAACTGCGCGTAGTGAGAAGAAAAATATGTAAATAGATGAACTGTTGCATGCATTTGGCATTTTATTTTGGATTTTCCACAAAGCTACAAAATGCACTCACACACTTGCGTTTTCTTTGTAGATTTTCTTGAATATATATGAATACATATATGTATTTGTACATACATATATAATTTTTTTTTAGAAAGAGAAACAGAGCCAACCAGCACAATTGGAAATACATACATACACGGGACACATATACACACATACGCACGCACGGACTGAGGAGTACTGAATTTTCGATCTCTAACCATACGTCTCGCGCACTATTTTCAGATGATATCGTTGCGTTTTTCTTAAAATTTACCTTTACGCGCTGCGTTTTTGCACTTTTCACAAATTTTTCTCCACCTCCACGCGCTGCGTTGTTTTAATTAATAATAATAGATGGGCGATAGATTGTGGTGGTTGAGCGATCGACTGTGTATGAAATGTGGTGGTAAAACGACAACTCAGGCCATAGGCTTGCAGTGAGTTCAGTTATCGATAACTTTCACAAGACTGGGCAGCACTTAAATCGAACACCCAACTGAAAGCTGAATACTACAGCACCCATATTGGCGGCTAATTTAAAAATATCCCCTACACAATATACTCTTAAAGTCGTACAATAAGAAAAAAATTTTGAGATATATTTAAAAACAAATTGAATCCATTTAAATGGGATACATATTATTTATTGTGATAGCTTTATTTGTTATCTGAATGTTAATTGCGGTTTATTATGTCGTATGTTGTGTTTAGACAGATGTAAATATGTTGATATATAAGATGGGTGTTATTTTTAAGAGCAAAATGATTGGAACGTAGCTAATAAATATATTATTTATGTAAAATATATAAATGAATTGTTATATATTAAAAAAAAAAAGAAAATGTTGTAAAATACTAGGTGTATTCGGTTTTTGGCATTGTTGTTAGTTTTTTGGTTAAATGGCGAAAGAATGAATATTTTTGGATTAACACTAAAACGGTCACACTGGTCACCTTGTCTGCAGTTTTCTGCGCGCACTTTAGCCGAGCGGCTGTTTGTACGGTCGAATAAGTTCCATTTGCGGCCACTTGGCATTGTTTTTATGGTGTCGTCGTTCGCTTGACGCTTGTATTAACCAAAAATTGAATGATCCAGTTTGAATTTTCTGCAAACAGATTGCGCTGTTTATTGATTTGTGGAAATCGGTAAAAAAAAAATAGTGTTTTAGCTAGCATTGGCATCTGCATATGCATATGCGTGTGTGCGTGTGTATTTAAGTGTGAGATGGCGAAAATCAATAACAAAGCAAAGTAAATAAAACGCAGGCGAAAAGTGCATACGAAAGTGGCTGTGGCAATGCAAAGAAGAAGAAAACAGCGGCCGCACAGTTCTGTTGAGTGAGAAAGCAGGCAGCTTCAGGCCAGGCCCAGTAGTTGTAGTTGTAGTTGTAAATACATACAAGTGGATCCGACGTGACGTGAATTTGTAAAGTGCGCCGTTATAAACGCAGCTTTTGCTGTAGTTGTTGTTGCTTTATCTTTTGTCGCTGCCGCTGCCGCTGCTTCTGCCTCTTCCCCTGTGGCCTCGCATTTTGTGCGGACTCTTAAAAACTCTGCGCTGCCGCTGTTTCTTAATGTTATATATTTTCTGTGTTATGTATATATACATATATTTTAATTAATTCCCATTCTGGTTCTTTAGCTGCGAATAGGGTCAAAATAAAACACGCAAAAAGCGTTTTAATTCCGAGTAAAAAATACAAAGAGAAACAATTTATAAGCGTGTCTGTCTTCTGTCTGTGCCTCTCTCGTGCATCTGTGAGTGTGTGTGTGTGTGTGTAAACAGAAGAACGCGCGTGATTCATACCTTGATACACCGGGGGCGGCACAGGAAAAGTCGTCGACTGCGCGTGTTGTTGTTGGCCCGAAAGACACGGACACGGAGTCCGTCCATTGAACTGCCGCGGCTGACGGCAACGGCGGCGACGACGACGACGGCAACGGCTGGTGCTGCTGCTGCGACGCGACTGCGACGCAATTGCTTCCTGGCGAAACGACAACAACAACAACAACATGGACAAATGTGAGTATGCTTGCTCTAAGAACGCGATGACAAAAACGAAGAAGAGGGACACGAAAAAAAAAAAAAAAACTATAAAATTCGTGCCTTGCTGCAGTTTTGCTTTTGTTATTGTTGTTGCGGCGCTGCTGCTGCTGCTGCGCTGCTGCTGACACTGCCGTTGGCTATGTTTTTAGGGTGGGTCCATCTATGCCGTTTATCTATGCCTTTTGCACTCTGCGCTTTGCGCTACCATTCGCATTGTTGGGTGTGTCTCAGGGTGGGCGTGCAAAGTTTCTAGTTTCTAGTTTTTTTTGCTCCTCCACAAGGACATTAAGACAACAAATTTACGATTGTTGTGGCTGCAACTACAAATTGCGGTACTTAGAGCTAACGTTAACGTACGCTGTTCATAGATTTTAGATTCGCGCAGAGGCTTAGCCTGGCTTAAGTCAATTAAGAAAATAATAAAAAAAGATTCGAAACCAGTTTTACAGTTGACTTTATTTTTTATTACTTTAAAAAAATGAATTTGTTGTTGATGATTTCATACAGCAAAGAGTTAAAACAGTTTTTTCTCTAATGTTTTTTCTTTTTGTTTCGGCTGCGAACGTGCGGGATTTTGTTGGGAAACGTAATGTGAATGGCTAAGACAAAAGATTTGGCTTTGTAGAAACTGAATCAGGTAGAAAAAGTGTTTGTGTTCCAGAAGCAGAGTTGGTAAACGCAGCAATATTAATGGCATGACTCTAAGTACTAGACAAGTTTTGGTCTTTTGAGGTTCGTAAACCTAGTTTTGGAAAGAGCTTTATACTGATGTCGTACAGAAATTATGAGATTACTGATCAAATTCGATTTTCTTATAACAGTTTGTAGTTTTATCTAAAAAATATGTATAGACTGAGAGAAATATTTGTCTATACTATATTATGACTGTAAAAGGCCTCCCGTATATATTAAACTTTATATTTAGTTTATAACCCTCTAATTGTTAATCATTCGTGTGGGTTATAAAATACATTAATATACGAGATTTAGTCGCAAATTGAAAAACAAGTTTTTGTGTAACAAATGAGAAATTGAAATCATTTGTATAAATTTAATTTGAATACTAAAGAAAATAGAAAATATTATGTGTAATATAGCATTGCTATAATTTACTTGCTATAACTCACAGCTTAGGCTGTAGACTAAAACATTTAGTATATACGTATAGGTATGTTTATCTGCATGCATTCATATACACTCTTTATAACTTCCCTGATAGGGCTAGAGTAAGAGTCGTTGAGCGTGCAATAATATTAATAAAACATGGTTTTGTTTTCTTTGTCAACCTCAAGATTGTTCGAATGTTCAACGTTGTTGTTGTTGTTGTTGATGTCGCTGATAATGTAGCTGATTGGGTTGCATATATATTCAGCTTCCACTCGACACCCGGCCCCCATCTGCCCCATCTGATGATTTCTGTTGATGAACAATCCGAGGCAGACAATGGAGCTCGTCTGGAATGGTTTTGTCTGGGTCGCATTTGCATCCCGAACAAAAGACGCCGCTGCTTTCTTCCGTTGTTTGTTGCTATTGTTGCTGTTGTTGTTGTTGTTGTCATTGTTGTTGTTTTTAAGTGATTCGATTTGAAAACTAAAAGTGAAAAATCTTGAAGAATACAAAAGCGAAACAGCAGCAAACCATAAATGATGCTGATGACCAACAGGAAATGCCCAAACACACACACACACACACCCACAACGCTTTCAATACACTATACCCATTAGACATGATTAGTAATGGGTATATTGCTGTTTTGTAACATTCAGGGGAACACTCTAAAATATGCTTGATTCATAGCCACAGTTGGGTTCTATTTGAGTCAGAAACAATGAGAGCTAAGCCTCAATTAGTTTAAATGAAGTTTATATGTATATCTACAGATGTCAAGATAGATTTGGTAGTTTTTGGTTTTGATAGGAAGAAATTTATAACATAAGTAATTTCTACTATAACTTATAATAAATACCTAGGATTTAATAAAAATAAACAGCAGCAGTCGAGCTAATATACTCAGCCTGGTACAGCTAATATGAAATGTACTAGATATATTCTAGTTAGGCAGACTAAATTGTATCTTTCTCTAAATATCGGGAATAGTTGGTCAGAGTAAAGCTTATTCAAATTCTAATACAATTCTGAATAATTAACAACACATTTCCCGGGTATCTTCAGGCCGGGCATGCTCGCCTAGGGCAGAGCTCTATTGCTATTTTCATAAAATATTTTTGTGAAATCTTTATTTTAATATTCGTCGAATCGCTTATCAGTTGCGCCGGCTGCTATTTGATAAATTGTTTGTGGCAAGCCTTCTTCAGCCTTGTGTCTTGTGGGTGTGGCAGCTACATTTCTCCTCTACTCTTTCGCCGTCTTCTTCTTCTTCTTCTGGCTCGTGCTGTGCGTGGGCCAATGGCTTCAATCATTGCCCTGCCCAGCCCATGAATTGGCTGCCTTTGCCTGCATTTGCCTACAATTTCTTAGCCCTGTTCACATTAGCACTCAAAATCGACTGTATGGATGGATGGGATGATTCATCAGCTCTCAGGTTTTGTCACGACGATTGCGAATTGCAAAACGACGAACAGCTACAAAATTATGCGAGCTTTGTATACTTAGACTCTCGGCGGACACCGCTTCCCTTCGAATTGAGCAATCATTCGCATGCAAATAACTGTGAATGCATATTATTTGCAGTCCATTCGCGAGGGCTTTGAGTCAGCCCCAACAACAACAACAACAACAGCAACAAATGCTCGACGTGGAAGTAGCAGAAATGTGCGAGTATTTTTTGTTTTTGCTCTGCGCTAGTTTATCTTATCGCCAACTTATCAGAGCGTACATTTTTTTGTTTTTATTTTTTTACTATTTTTTTTTTCTTTTTGATTTTTTTTTTTGTTTTTTTTTTTTTTTTTTTTTTTTTTTTTTTTTTTTTTTTTTTTTTTTTTTTTTTTTTTTTTTTTTTTTTTTTTTTTTTTTTTACAAATTCATATGGTAACATATCGAGTTTTGCGTGTTAAATGCAAAACTTTTGTGCTACTCAACTTTTGTCTGACACTAAAAAAAGTTTATCAAGCCATTTGCTGCTCGAATAGGAAATATCTGCCTGTAATTGTGTTTGCCTATGAGATACCCTTTGCTATTTGAGTAATTGTTAAGTGGATGTGTCCTTAGATAATGCTATCTTGTAATTCTAATACATACTTATATTACACCGTAAAAGATCAAGTTTGCATGATAAAGAAACGGATAATTTCTAAAAAGCATCAAGATTGCAATTATTATATATAGAATAATAATTCATTTATGAGCTATATAGTAAATTAGCTTTTGTTCCAATTCTCATGGGACGTTTCTTTAGCCTAAACGGAAGTCTTCAGTTATCTTTAAAACATTTACTCGAATTTTATATGCAGAGCTAATATGCCCGTTTGCTTTATCAATTATTATCAGTGCATAAAACGTATAAATAATGAAAAACTATGCCAAGTTTAGTAAATGTTTGCGCTGCTTAAACAACCACACGTTATGTAAGTACATTTGTATGTGTGTATGAGTGTATGTGTGCAGGTATGAATATATCTAGCTCTGACTCCCTGTGTGTGTATGTGTGTGTATTTATGCTGCTTTGGCTGATTGGGCGACAGTTTGTAAGACATACGCTCTATGCTCTTTATCAGTCAATTGTTTAGGCATCATTAATTCTGGTCGCAAACAGTGGAAAATGCGGGCGCTTGGCGTCTCAGCCAAGCCATATAAATACAATCCAAACACATRCACACACATACATACATATGTGTATTTGTAGGCATATCATTGAACTGATAAGCGGCGACTGAACTCAAGGCCTCGTCTTCAGTGTGCACCCTCTGGCCTCGCTCTGGCCGTGCGTCCGTTCAATAGCGTTCGACTGTCGCAATCGTATAATTGAAACTCAATAAGTGAAAAGTAACTGTTCTTTAAACAATTACATTTCCAAGAATTTTCCAGCGTTGAATGGAAATGCATTGAGTCAAGCTGGCAATTTGGTTACTCAATTCTAAACAGACGAATTGAAAGTACTTGACGACTGTTCCAGTTTTCTTTATTGTTTGTCGAGCACTAAAGAGTGAGTGCTTGAGCTGAATGGAATGCAGTGAGAAAACTTAAGTGTAAAGTGCATTCCCTCTTAACTCTACAAATTAGAGAAATGAAAGCTTTCAGCTTAGTAAAGTGAATTGAACAAAGAGCTAAACCTAATAGCTGTTTATTTATATGAAATCATCATATTATGGCTAATATAAAATGGCAATAAAATTTATATTGATAATTTTATTTCAAATTAAATTGTAGCCAAGGATCTTTAGCAAAAATCTTATTAACACAGTTCTCTTGATTGCATTGTATTTCATGCCTATCACATCTGGATTTCTTTCTTGGATTTAGTTCTTAGAGTAGAAAAAAAATCTTTGGATTCCTATTAGAATTTTTAGCCCCAACTTAATGGTAGATATCAAACCCATAAAAAGCAATTGAATCATTAATGCAGTATACATTATCTCCAGACTAATTATTTCTATAAATACCGCAGCATAAGTAACGTTTCGAAGTGCATTTGTTGTTGTTGCACGGCAAATGGAAAAGCGCTTTGTACTGAATGAAGTGCCATTAGGAAAATGTAATCAGCAAGAGGCTCTTAATGGCCAGTTGACCCGGGACTGCTAGTCAAGTTGCCCACTTGGCCCACGCCCCCACATGGTATATATATGGTCTTGAATCTTGTCTACAAACACACACACGCACACACTTTCCATCGTAAAGTCTTTTTTAATTAAACAAACGACGAGTTGCGGCGGCGCATAAATCAAGCGCATGCGTTTTCCAATTTAACTGCTTGGCCTTGGCAATGAAAAATGCAAAATGCGTGGCTGTGTGGGTGTATGGGTGTATGGGTGTCTGGGTGGGAAGGTGTAGGCGTTTGTTTGCTCAAGTGCAGCTGTGGG